TTGAAAGTCTCTAGCGTGTCTCAAGTTCACTTGCAACTGTTGTTTCAAAAATAGCCAAAAATGCATTTTTTTATACCTTGATCTCAATTTTTTGAAAAACTTGACGTGATACAAACATTTTTTCTGTCGAATTCAGTAATGGTAAATCTATTGAAGATGATACACCTCATTTATATTACACATCTAATGTCCATCTCTGTTTAATTAATATATTTAAATTGAGATTAAGTAATTAATCTTTTCCGAATTATATCACATAATGTTACCTATTTATATTTACTGAACAAAATTTTTAATATCTGTGATGGAATAATAATCGCTTTGAGTTAATTTATATTTATTTAGTTTTCATGAGCTTTACATAGTATAGATCGATGTCATAGTTGCTTAAATAAATGGGACACAGAATGTTTGTGTTTAGCCCGAATCCATATTTTGCCAGCGGGTCTCTTTCTATAAAATAATCTCTCGAATTATCCGCGGTTGCTGTATAATTTAATTTTGCGTCCGGTAATGCAATCACATCACGCAATTAATTCCATATTTAGTGATATGATACAATATTTAATATCCGCGAGTGTTGGTGTCTGCTTATTATGCACATTTGTGTCACCTAAATTTTTCATGTTATTTTCGTGTTATTTAAATTGTTCGATTAATTACGTTTAAAAATTAATTTAAAATCGAATTCTTATACAAAAATTTCGCTATCATTCATAAATGACATTGATTGTTGAAATACGTCTATATGTCTATGTTTTACGTAACGTAAAACTTGCTAAAAATTCCATCGCTAGAAATTACTCATTGTCAGTGAATTTTTCATGCGGTACACGTGCGAGTGAGCTCTCAGTCGCTACATTATGAAATACGTGATAGTCGCGTTCTACATGTCTATCCGTTAACGATTTGTGTGTTATGAGTCGGTTTTTGAAATTATCAAAGATAATTTTATTGTTATCAATAATGATGGCGGGTATCAAGAAAATTCAATCTACCACAAGTATTGATTTCAATGGTAAATTGTAATCTTTCATGTATTGAAAGAACGAATTGAGAATATTCTGAATATCCTCAATAATATCAGAAGGAGCTGTCAAGACAATGTCGTTCATGTATCGGTAAATAAAATAAAGGTCGAACCGATCTTTCTAAAGCTTCCAAATTTTGTAAAACTATTTTGGCTATAATTGGAGACAGAGGTGATCCAATTTGCTTGTAAAAATTATTATTGAACGAAAAGAAAGTTGAATTCAAAACGAATTTATACCAATTATTTCTATAATTTTACATTTTTATATTCATATATTGTGTTATTACTGTTTTTATAGTCTTTGACTCTTTATAATCATGATACATCTACAACGAACAATAATTTTACACACTCATATTCTCGTTAAAAATTGAGCCTGCCATAATTCTTGAGATACACATAAGAATATTGCAGATTTTTCTATATATATATTGGTTTTTTTATCAAGATACATCTGTAACGGGCTGTAACATTACACATTCATACTCTCATTTGTTAAATTTGAACCTGTTATAACGCGTAAGATGCACAAAGGAACAGATATATTATCCGGACATCCACATGATGCGATTTTGCGGTTTTGCGTCTCAGTTGGTATTTTTTACATTGCTATTATGCCATTAGTTAATTCGTTTTTAATTTATTTAAACCGTTTAATTTAAATTTAACAATTATGCTTTATTTTATTTAATATTAAAAATGATCCAAGTAGAATCGAAACGCCGTCTGTAGGGTCGAAATACCATTTGTTATATCTTTGTTTTTAATTATACTATTTTATTTACATTATATTGTTTTTTTTTATGGCTCGTAGCCCTATCCAATATAATAAAAACATTAATTGATAATGATTATCCTTTGGATTTTATTTTTGCCATGATAAACAGCAGAATCAAATTACTTTCATACAAATATATTACTGAAGAAAAAACAACATAATAACAATAACAGTTTTAATAATCACAATTCAAAAAGCTTCTTTACTATTCCTTATATTAATATAATATCTGAAAAATTTAAAAATTTATCTCATAAATTTAATATTGCATACAAACCCATGAACAAATTTGATAAATTTATTAAAAAATAAGATAAATTCATCGAAAAAGACGTGTTAAAAAAAGAAGATAATAACAATGTAATATATAAAATAAATTGTCAAGATTGTGACTCTTCTTATGTGAGACAAACTAAAAGAAAAACTTAACACTCGAATCAAAGAACACAAAGCAGATATTAATAAACCAAATCTAATTTGTTATCTGTTGTATCTTGCCATTAATTAAACAAAGATCATGTTTTAGATTAGAACAATATTTTAATCTTAGATTCAGAACCATCGTATTACAAAAGAACAATTTCATTGGGATGATACATATTAAGAACAAAAATCAGGATTGAATAAGCAAAGTTACGCCGATCGATTATCATACTTGCCCCTATTAAACGAATAACCTCCTACTTACAACTTTCATCTCACTTCCCTAATTTTTCCCTTCTTAATTTTTCTAGCTAATATAAATACAGGAAGACAAAATACAGAGAAACACAAAAATTCTGTTAACAAGTTAACGTACTAAAAAGTTTCTCCCATTTTTAAAAATTCAAATTAAATTATAAAAAGTGGAAAATTGTAACTTCTATTATATACGAGCAAAGATATGTTAAGTAATCGTTTGTAGTATCTTTATAATCATGTATTAAAAAAATCTTTATAACTTTGTAATTATGTAAATTCAAATTAGAAAAATGTCGCTTTGCGACACGAGGATTTGCAATTAATAGCGGACTAATGTTGTAATAGTCACACAAAACTCAACCATTTCATAAGAACTTTATACAGTTTCATACACTCAACTTCTTATACTAACTGACGCACATTATAATTGGACTAAGATTTAATCTCTTGTAATTTTTAAATTGTAATTTTTAACTTATTTAACTTCTGATTTAAAATTGTATAGTAGAATTGTATATTGAAGATTGAAAATTGTATATTGATTTAGAATTGTATATTGAAGAAGGCCTAGTATCGGCCGAAATGTCTATGAATTTGAATTTGTAATGATTATTTTAAATATATAACATCGTAATAAATGACCGGCATATTGGCTGTATGCTCCTTTTTTAACTTTTGTTTATAAGTATTTAGCCATTATTTACTTCTACATTGTAAACTATTATTATTATAATTATTAGAGGTTTAATTATTAAAGGTTTATGTTTGGAAATAGAATTATTGTTTATGTTTTATATTGCATTCTCAACTTTCATCTCTATACATAATAATTCATTTCGTTTACATTTCAATAAATTATTATTATTATAACATATATAAAATTATTATATATTATTATTATGTATTATAACATATATATATTTATGAATAGTATAAAAAAATTACACGAATATTATTTTTATAATATGTATTATACAAAGGCATAAGAATTCAAATTTATGACAACATATTATGCATTAAAAATTATATTTGCATTTATATTACGATAGAGAATTGAAGTTCACGGAATTTGTGTAATTCTCAGGTCATCGTGTAATAGCGTTGGATACTTCGCACACATTTTATCGTACTACTGGATGTTATTGAACAGCTTTTGTATAGGAAAGAGGAGATTGCGGATGCTGAGAACAACCTTTATAATTATTCTCCTTTCAATCTAAAGTATTCTCAGATGATAAATTCTGACGAATCCTATAGATAAAAAAATACTGCTGTGAAGATTGAATCGTAAAAATAGGCTGCACATTTTAACGAAGTATTAGTATTATCTTGAAGAGTTCCCTTTCTTTCTCGACTATCACAATTTTTTCAACATTTATTGAAGTATATTACCGTTTGAGAAAAAGTATAATAAAATTTTGAAAATATTGCTGTCGGAACACAAATTTTTATGACACGTGTTGTTTTTTAAATCTTTGTTTCTAATTTTAAGTTAACAAATTGTTTGAGTTATTTCGGTAAAAATAATAATAATAACTTTTATTACTTTTAATTGTGATTTGTGTGTGTGCGTGCGTGCGTGTAAACCGCAAAATATTTATTAATCGTAATGTAATTGTTTATTATTATGATGTTATTCCTTTTCTTACAAGTGTATAAATTATATTATATGTATATATATATTATATATATATCAATTTGTACAGGGAGTTTCGTTTTAATTGATACCCTAAAATATCTTTTGCATAGTGCATTTTAGAGAAAAATATTTCAGATAAAAATTATATAGTTTGAAGGAGAACATAAAATGCCATTGATGGTACAAACGAAAAATAGTTCTACGTTATGGATAAACTATTCTATTTCATACAACGTTTCAGAATTTTCTAAATTTTCGAGTTGTCTCCCCTTGTAAGTCGTATCAACAATAATAAGTTTCTATTCGCTTATATTAATCAAATATGTTAATGCCGTATGATAGGTTTCCTGTCATCTTATTACCGTTATTATTATAATGCAATTAAACATTTTAATTACTATTTATCGTACATACCAACATTGTTTTATTGCATTATAAATTTATTAAAATATAATTCAATATATGTAGATCAGCATTAATAAGAAAATACTAGTTACACATTTTTGTCATTATAAACCTGTGCAGATAAGATATATGTATAAGAAATGGTAATTTCTTTAATTCATTACTTTTTTTCGCAGACCTAGTAAAACTAGAGACGGTAGAAAATATTCAGTTATCTCAATTTTCATTAATTATTCTTTCCTTACTTGGATTTTTTCTTATTGAAATTTTTTCTAATTGTTAACACGCTTTCAGAGAAAACATTAATGAATAAAAAGAGAAAGTTTACAATATATTATTTGAAATAAGAGTTAAAATTAAAAATTGTATTGATATATAATGTTTTTTACAGTTAGTTAAAATATAAAATTTATTTTTTATAAATAAATTTTTTTTTTAAATAAAACGTAAATTTTTTTTACTAGAAGTTCTGTGGCACAAATAATGAAAGGGCGTCATCAATTTCGCCGTCGTTTTAGTCTACAACCTTCAGCACACTTAAAAGAAGGACAGGAGGATGGAACAACAAAGAACGTCAGGTAATGCAAAAGAGTTTTCTTCTGTCATAAATTTAATTCAATTAATTTATTTAAATAATACGCGGAACTCTCTTTCTCTCTCTCTCTCTCTCTCTCTCTCTCTCTCTTTCTCTCACGTTCATAACGTTCATATAATAAGAATTATTGAAACAAAGCAGGTTAATGTGCTTTTCCTTAAGAACAAAATTTTCATTTATATGAAAGATTTAAAAAAAAAGTTTTTTTAAAGCAACATGCAAGTTAATAACAAATATATATTTTTATCATAGAAATGAAAAACTAACGGAATCGAACAGTGATAGTGGAAAGTCGTCCGAAAGTTCAGTTCGGCATAAAATTGTAGTGATGGGCGCAGCAAAAGTCGGCAAGTCTGCAATCATTAATCAATTCCTGTACAATACTTTCACCCCAAAGTATAAGCGAACTGTCGAAGAGATGCATCATGGGAATTTCAACGTTTCTGGAATTCATTTATTACTCGATATCCTCGATACGTCCGGTTGGTACGAATTCCCTGCGATGAGAGAGCTTTACATCAAATCGGCTGGCGCCTTTATTTTAGTTTACGATGTAAATGATTCAAATACATTTCTCGAGGTGAAAACACTCCGCGCCCAGATACACAGCACAAAAGGAGAAGTTCCGATTGTGGTCGTTGGCAACAAAATCGATCTTGTAAAAACAGAAAAAGAGGTGAGTTTCAGTCGGATCAGACTGAAATTGTTATCTCTTAATCGGACCGAAACCAGAAATCCGACCGAAACCGTACTTTTTTTCGAAAAACTTTTTTTCAGTTTTTGATTTAGTTTTCGGTGTCGATCTGATTAAAATTCAGATTTTTTAAACGTTGTTAAATGTTTTATGAGAATGTTTTATTTGGAAGAATTTGAAAATCCGTAGTCGCTATTGAAATCTGAAAACAGAGTAATGCATCTTTTAGTTCACACTATGGAACGTACGAACAAACTTCTTAAAAGAGACTTTCAAATATTAATTAATTCAGAATTAATTATTTAATTCAGAAACTAGACATAGAAATGTAACTTGAGATTTTTTATTAGGGATGCAAGAAGTACAATATATAAAAATATACAATATATAAAAAATTCAAGCAAATTGATTGAAAACTTTTTTTATATAAATCGTGCATAGTCGTTTACAAAAAGCATAATTTCTTTTATTTACACAATTGTGAACAGAAATCAACCTCTTTTCCTCTTTTGTAAAAAAAAAACATATTCCTCCATAAGAAATATTTCTAAATCAAATAATATAAATAATAATAAAAACATAAACATGTTATATGAATTTAAACATTCTTAAACAAGCATACAATAACATAAAATTTTAATTTTGCCTGTATATTATACGGTATTTAGGCACAGATGTCAAAGTATTAAAAATTTAATGGCAAATTAAAACTGTGTGACAGATAATAAGAGGAAACTTAAATGTACTAAAAAATAAATAAAACTGATAAAGCGCGCATGTTAAATGTTATACATATTTACAATTTGTTTACAATAGTGTAAAATGTATTGATTATAGGTGGAGACCGAAAGGACTAGAGAATTTGTAACTACGACATGGAAAAATGGCTTTGTAGAAGTATCTGCAAAGGACGACCTCAACATCTCTCAAATATTTAAGGAACTTCTTATCCAAGCGAAGTTGAAATATGATTTGAGTCCGGCATTACAACATCGCCGTCGACAATCTTTGCCGCCTCCACAACATTCAAACTCGCGCAGCAGCAGCAGTACCCACGTGCCGTCCGCGACTCAGTTACAACATTTGCAACAAGTTCATGAGCGTTCCGATTCCAAAAGGAATTCCTGTAGTCTATCGTAAAATGAGAACTCTTTAATATTGTCGCGAAATATTTTTCTTGATAATACCGAATTAGTTCAGTCCCGTGCAATTATCCAGTTATTATACAATGTGTCAAGCGATTAATTGATCCAAATTTATTTGAGGATTACAAATGTGATATGGACCTTGGATCGGTCACACGAAATTTGGATAACTCGCGCAAATCCGTGAAAAATATTCGATATTCACAATATCTACAATTCGGTATTTGTCCATAATGTTCTTTTGCTGTTTCGGAATCTTTAACGCATTAGAAATACGAATCAAACTTTCTATGAATATTTAACGTTAGTTGGAAAACATTTAAAAATGCTATTATTCTACGAAAATTTAAGTATTTATGTGTGTGCGTGAGATATTGATGCAGTAATATATATCTAAAGATATGTGTCGATGTGTTATTTTATTGGTAAAATAGCGATCTCATCAGAGTCCGAGTTTCACTTTAAAATCTTCTTAAAGGATTAAACAAAACATAAGACATCTTAAAGATCTTAAAGATGTTTTAAAAATATTTAAAAAAAGATGTTTTATGTCTCGATTTTGAAGTTTTTGTTGTCTGGACATTGACTTAGATATGACCCAGATAGAAAATGTTAGCAGACGTTACATGTCGACAGACTTGTAGCAGATTTAATCAGGAAATGTTAGTAGACTGATCACAATTGATGTCGCATTCTGCTCTTGTTCTACCGACAAAACCTGTTAACATTCTACGCAAATAGACTGGCAGCAGAAATCAAACAGAACCTGCTGATAGAATCTGATAGCAGATTGCAAGCAGAAACCGAGCAGAATGTGCTGACATAACTTGACAGCAGATTGGCAGAAACTGAACAAGATCTGTCATTTTCATTTAAATGATTTCTTATAAGACTTGGTTTCTTATAAGAAATTTTGTGTACATATATATAAACGGTTATATATAATTACACATAATTATATATTTATATATAAAGGTATATACTGACGTGAAAATTGAAAACAATCAATACAGTTTTATTGCTAAAATATTATTTAGCTTCACATTTCAAAATATACATGAAAAAGTTAAAAAGTCAAAAAGAAGTAAAATAAATATTCGGAGATTCAGAAAGCACATTCCGAAAGAATCTCTTGGGAATCTCTAGGAGATTTGCCTATTCGATTTACATACGCCAATTCTTAGACTTCTGGACGTTTTCTTCTTACGAGAAACAAGTCCATCTTGTCATTATTCCCATGGCGAGGTCATATATTAAAATGACAGATCTTGTTCGGTTTCTGCTGCCAATCTGCCATCAAGTTATGTCAACTGATTCTATTCGATTTCTAGGAGCTTTCTAATCTTAAGTGCTATGATCAAATATGAAACATATATGATGTTAACGTATGAATGTTATAAATGGATATTCTTAATAAATATAATCTGTACGCCGTTCTTTCATGATGACGTAGAAGAAAAACATAAATTAGAAAAATATATCATTATAAATGTATAACTAAACTGCGATTAAAGCTGGTTTGTTTATAAGTATATGTTTCTGCGATTTTTCTCTGTTTTTGAAAAACACATGAAAACAAATGTCAATTATTAATGTTTGTATCATTGGGTTACAAATTAATAAATAAAATGGGAGGACCCCATTTACCTACAAATTGATTGCCTACAGCACCGTTTGCCTACATTACCTCCCATTTGTCTGCACTAAAAAAAAATTGGTTATATGGACAAAATTTTTATGATTGATTTATTCTATGGTTGATTCAATTATTTAATTGCAAATATATAGTTTATGTCAACCATCTAAGTTGAAAAAACTAGACCAACTCAACTAAATTATTTTGATAGAAATATTAATAGAATTTATTTAATTTTGCGTGTCATTTAGTTATTTTCGTAATATATTTGTTTAAATTCCAAGTATCAAATTGACTAAACAATGCCGTGAGAATTATTAAATAATATTTTCAATCAAATAATGAAATTAGATATGATACAATTTTTGTTAAAACAAACAACAGATTTTGTCAATTATAATTTTTAAAAATAACAAAAAGTTTTGTTCATCTCCCAAACTTTTTGATAGATAAATCAAATGCCAAAATCAAATGATCCAAAATCAACTAAATTAATTATTAGGTGTTGGAATTAATTCGTAGCGTTTTACAAGTGATGGGAAGTACTTTCATTAATGTATTTTTTAATGCTCATGTGAAATAAATAACATTCTTTCATTAAAAAACGCTACGAATTAATTCCAACACCTAATATTTATTGCAATTTCTAAATAAAAACTCGGTGAATCATACATAATTTAATTGAAAATAAATATTATTTTTCTCTAAAGAAAATTAAATATCATTATATATATATATATATATATCAACTGTTCGATGTGTTTCCTTCAACTAAATAAAACTGATAAATATCGTGTATCTTCAACCGAACAATTAAATTAGATGACCAAATTTTTGTTGAAAAATCAGCAGATTTAAAAATAATAACACGTTTTATATTCAAATATGTTTTGATGAATAAACCAAGCGCGACTGAAAATCAAGTAAATGAATTATTCATAAAAATTTCTTTTTAAATAAAATTCAGATTTAGATTTATACATAATTTAGTTGAAAATAAATATTATTATATTCAAAAGTATATAAATTCAAACTGTTCGAGCCACACACAGAATGACGTAAGCTGCATAAGCATAACATAAGATTGCTGGACCATTCATTATCCGACAAAAAGACGCCATATTAATTTACATAAGATGTTCAACGGTCTTACTCAAGCAGAACAACAAGTCACGATAATGTCAAAATGAAATTAAAATAAGTTGGAAATAATTGAAAAATGATTTTTAATGATCATTTTGGAATCATTCTGACATCAATTTAATATCACAATGACTTGTGATTCTGCTTGGGATATGCTTATGCAGCTTACAGTCATTTACAGTGTGGTAGTCCTAAACATCTATCCAAACAAACTTGCATATGTGCATAACGTATGCATAAAGGAAATTATCCAATCGCATTTCTGTTATAAAAATGCATTTAAAATGAGATTGGATAATTTCTTTATACGTTTATGTAGATATACAAGTTTGAATATACTGTAAGAGTCTGTGTGTGCAACATACACTCAAAAAATAGTTTGGTAACAGCTACAAAATTTTTGTTAAAATAAGCTCAACCAAGTGTTTGGCTAATATAATCAAACATAATTTTATTCTTACAAAAATGTATTATTACTAAATAGGTTCACTGTTTGATGACACTACATTTTTGTAAGGATAAAATTACGTTTTTGATTATGTTAACGAAACATTTGGTTGAATCTACCCAAGTCTATCTCAAGAGTTACAGCAGACTCAATTTTTAACGAGAATATGAGTGTGTAAAATTATTGTTCGTTGTAGATGTATCATGATTATAAAGAGTCAAAGACTATAAAAACAGTAATAACACAATATATGAATATAAAAATGTAAAATTATAGAAATAATTGATATAAATTCGTTTTGAATTCAATTTTCTTTTCGTTCAATAATAATTTTTACAAGCAAATTTTCGGCATTTCTGTGGGATCACCTCTGTCTCTTGTTATAGCCAAAATTTATAAAATTTGACTTTAACCATAGAAAGACAACCGGTTCATTATTTTATTACCGATATGTGGACGACATTGTCATGGCGGCTCCTTCTGATAGTATTAAAAATATTCAGAATATTTTCAATTCGTTCTTTCAATACATGAAAGATTACAATTTACCATTGAAATCGGTACTTTTGGCAAATTGAATTTTCTCGATACCTATCATCATTATTGATAATAATAAAATTATCTTTGATGGATTTCAAAAACCGACTCATAACACACAAATCATTAACAAATATTTCGTAATGTAGCGACTAAGAGCTCATTCACACGTGCATCGCACGAAAATTCACTGACAATAAGTGATATAGCGACGGGATTTTTAGCAAGTCTCCTAAAATCAAAAGACTACGCGTTGCTACGTAAGACGACGTTATGTAAAACATGGACATACGAACGTATAGACATATTTCAACAATCAATGCCATTATGGATGATAGCGACATTTTTTGTATAAGAATTCGATTTTAAATTTATTTTTATTCGATTGTATATGGATGAAGTGTTATGTTATATATGTGACGATTAGTATTCAACACGTTCCGTGTCGTATTTTTAAATGATTTTATTTATCATATAGGTCACAAAAAATTAATTATAATATTTTTGTATGCATTTATTACATTTGTTAAAATGTATTTCATACCTCTTGATTTATACATATATGGTTTATACAGGTATATTAATGATTCATTCGTTTCATGAGAATTCGTGCGTGTAAAAAGTCCTCATCTTTATACAAAAATATAAAAGTAATTAAATAATAATGATATATTATATTGCGAGAACATTACAATTTGAATATTTTTGTAACAGAGCATACTTTATCCGTATATGAGACCTTCTTTATAATAGTAATAATATTTATAGTTTTTAACCGCTACGAAATACATTTAAACAAATGTAATATATACAGACAAAAATACTATGATTATTTTTATAATACCTATATGATATGATGAATAAAATTCTTTAAAATTAACACGACACGGAACGTATTGAATGCTAGTTGTTATGTAACATAATTTCAATTATTCTATACTTTTAAATCATACAAATTTTATTTCAATATAAAAATTAATTGGCTATTCTATATATTAATTAATTTATAATTATTGTAAAAATAATTAGTTCTATTTGACGTTCTTGGTATAAATTTCACTGTATCCTTTCTAATTATACCATCCTGTGAGCCTGATTAATCTTAAATGTGATTAATCGAATAATTCATTATACATCCCTTCGAGATAATCCCACCGACAAATATATTGTCCACTATTAGCTTCCACTATTAGACATTTGTAGCTCAGCAACAGTGAATTATATTCATGTGAAAGCCATATCGTGATTAATCACGCGTAAAAGGGTTGATAGAGAGAGAGAGAGAGAGAGAGAGAGAGAGAGAGAGAAAGAGAAGTAAAAGTTCATATAAAACTCAGTCTGTAAAAGAGAATCAGAGCGTTCTATTTCAAAAAAGAAAAACGACACTTGGTCCGCGACATTAACATCAGAATCAGAAACTGGAGCTCGGTCAACGGCTTCGTTACTACCACTATCATCGTGACAAGAATAATATCATCGCCAAAACATCACTGAAATCGGAGTAACGTCCTCGCTGCTCCAATTGGAGCAGGTCGATAATATACGTATCAGTATGCTTCTTGCATGTCA